CAATCATTCAGCATCTTTGGGGCGGAAAGCTATGTTGTCTTTAGTGAGACAAGATAGCCTAGCGGGCGGAAGGTCAACCCCCACGTTGGAAAACTCTTGAGATAGAACATTTCCTTCTTTCTCCCCTCCCCTCCCACCCTCCTCCCCGTCTTGGGAAGTGTTCCCAACGCGCCATCGCGTCTTTATTCTGGCTAATCATGACACACTTTGGACTCCACCCCCAAAACTGAGGTGCGTCGAGTGAGGGGGAGAGGGGTATAAATGACTGTTAAAACGACACATAGCGTGGAATTTCTTTGAATTTTCTCCAGATTTGTAGAAAACTACTTCTTCCCATTTCTCTCTATAACTACGACCTTATTCATATACAACGTCTTTCCTTAAAATCGCAAAAATAACCCTCCCCTCCCCCCAATCGTAGAGAAAATCCTAACGGACAGTTGACCTTTATGGCCACCTGGATCCAGTGTGCCGTAGTGGCTCCCAGTTGCCATGGCCCATCTCCTTATACTGAAAGGATCGGTGACATTATCTGTCGTGCTGCTGCTCACTGGAATCATACGAGCATCTGCAAGGTCCCGATTCATCCTTGTCACGCCCAAGAATACTCCAGTAGACTTTTTCTGCTTGAGGGACACAAAGCATCTCATGTTTGGAGGTGGGGTCTGACAATCAGGGCGACGCCTGGTGTTTCGTTGACTTCGCGAAGTTCCAGGTAGTGTCCGCTCTCATCCAACGATCACCACAAATCGCTAGAGACGTCTGTCCCTGCTACCTTCGATTCCTCGATAAATGACGACAGCGTTCTTTATTTTTGACCGGTGGCGAAATTTGGAACTTCGGATTCCATTTTTCATGTAAAAAGGAGCTTCTACAGTGCTTTCAACGTCGACGATGCTCGTCCTGCCTGCGCAATATGCCGATTTCTGAGACGAGCGTTGAAAGAGGATTCCACGATAATGTCGTAGGTCGAAGAAGAGGAAACCTACCCAATGGAAAGAAAGGCGAACCCCTGTAAGGGTGCGAAGCGACACGCAATTTGCAGTAAACGATATGCCTCTAGAGATCTATGGAGGATGGCCGTCTCCACGCCGCTATGGCCATGGACCGCCCCGCCCCCTCGCCGTTAAGCTCTAGCTGCCTCAGAAAGTGTGTTAGCGTTCAATGAGGTAACCACCAATGAGGACACGCCTAACGCAACGATCAGAAGGGGATTCAAATTCTCGGGTTCTAGGTTGTTCTCCTTGCTTCATTCATGCGTCACTGACCACCTCCACCTTGATTTCTAGTGGGATGTCTTTTCATCGTGAACTCCGCCTGTGAGGTGGAAGGGACCGTGGAATCGGGTGTTCCCCGTCTTTTTCACTACAACCTCCATCTTGTCACACCCTCGTCAAGTCGCTTTCCCAACAAATCAACCCAGGACTAACTCGTTCATCATGTTAGTTTTCCGACGTGGGCGCCCGTACTGAAGCATTCAGTGATGTTCGTTTCGAGATCGTGATGAGAGGATCAGGCTCCCCATAGACAATGCTCTCGGTTATGCTCGATGTCAAGGCCGTCCAGTTAAAATCCATTGTGTAGTGCTGATACACATTCAAACTTTAGCATTCTTTGTGAATTTTGAACGGGCGTGAAATGTGTGGCGCAACCCGTAAATCATGCGTGGATAGCTCAGCATGTTACATCTGTCCGGGGAAGTTTGAGGAGCTCGAGAGGAACCTGCGGAAAAGTGAAACTTACCCCTTTATCCGTGAGGTTTACTAGCCTCTGGCAGGAGCCCTAAATAAACTGACCTTTGTGAATTGTTCTGAAATGAAAAGTCGAATCACGTCCACCGAGATTCTTAGAAAAACAAGCTCTCACTGCTTTAATGTCGTCGTCATCCTTTTTCGCAGTGAGATGTTCGTAGAGCGTGTGGGCTCCAGTATTCATCTGTAAACATTCTTAAATAATACTTGGAATTCCTCGGAAAATCATTGGCGTACTTTTCACTCTTGGAGGAGGTCACCCACTTTCGTGGTTCGCGAATCCCGCCCAGGTTCAGTACATACTCCTTCATTTGATGGTTGGTTAGTTCGGTGAGAACGCTCTTGAATTGAATGAGTCATAGGTAAGTGAGATGGGGAAAACAGAGTGACAAAAACTCTATTTTGGAACGCTGCTTGGTTTCAAATAGCTCTCTAATCAGAAAGAGGCAGACCTAAAGGCACAACCCAAGATAAGTTAAGGTGAATGAATCTTTGTGGTGAGTAGGACGCAGCCACTCTCAGAGGTCGCAGATTTCTCGTTCTTTCGACTCTAAAGCGAGCAACAAGAGGCTCACGAAATCCGCTTCAACCGCTGCCATTTTTTCCTCTTACTGCCATCTGGCACTCTCCCTACTGTTGTGCTCTCTCACCTATCCTCTCTGTTCCGTGCTAAGCCTTTCATTGCCTGGCATAGTCAAATCCTATGGTTGATTGGGTCCTTTTTTGTTGAACTATTTCCGTTTTCTTTCCTGCTGGCCCACTTCCCGTCAACGCTGCCATTTTTGAATGGGAGAACCACACAGGTTTGCTCCTGGGGCGTGCCTTAGACTCGTTTTGTAGAGAGCGTACTGTTATCACTACGAGGACTGCGCAAGGTGGCTCTGTCAAGCTCGGGAATCCTGGCCCTTTCAGCTTGCTTTGGATCCACCGAGTAAGAAAGAGATTGGTGGTGAAAATCCAGTTGGGGGGCTTTCCTTGCTATCTTATCCGTAGTACTAGAGAGCAGTTCTTTGGGCTATCGAACACTACGGATAAGATAAGTAAACGACTCATTTCGAGCGTACTTTTGATAAGGACCGGTGGATGTCCTACATTCCACACTACCTGCCCACATCCCATCCACTTTTCTGCACAGGTCATCCACCCTGGAGCTCCTCCACCCTTAGCCCTTGCAGAGGTGTCCATTCTCCTGGTCCAGGACCGTTCCCTTGGACCATGGCAGGCGGAAATGTGAAAGCATCTCAGGGTTTCTTCCACATTACACCGATACTTATCAGAAGTATACTTTAAATGAGTCGATCACATGTCACGAGCGCTCTCAGAGAAACGATGGAGTGTCCCCCCCCCATCCCGAACTGGTGTTTCGCCGAGTACAACACGGTGAAAATCCACTTTGAGGGAGGAGGGGGAGGCTACTCCATTGAGTTTTCCGGTACTTAAAGGCAGCGATTACGATAAATTCAAGAAGGTTTAGTGTGACGTGGTGGTGCTCAATGGTACGCCAGTAGCGAAAAAAGCAGAAAATCCGTCAAGAAAACGCAAAACGGGACCCCCTTTTTGGCCGTTGGTTTTCACTCATGAACAGGTAACAGCTCAGAAAGTGGACGTATGAACGAGTTCACCGCAACGCGTTTGATGGCACCATGCCAAACACGCTTTAATCGAGATGCTCCATTTGCGCCGCTGCTGGCAACGCAGCTCGTCCAAATCAACAAGTAAACTAGTGGGCGGATCGCTTTTGGGGCGGAGTGCTTTCGAAGTCCTGCTCAGCAACCAGCGCACCTTTCGTCGTGAAAGCGCCACATCTCGCTTCCCTGGCAGCCAAGTAACTGATTCGTGTGGTGCATATGCTTCCCCGATGCGCTCCCTCTTTATCGTAATCGCTTCCTTTAAATAAGAACGAGAGCACTAACGTGTGATACATAATAGACTCATTCAAAGTCTGCTTCGATAAGTACCGGTGTGATGGAGAAGCACTTCTCTCACAATTCGTCAGGGGATCGGAAGCTACAGGAATGGATGATGCGGGAGATTGGATAGGACGTGGGCAAGAGGTGTTGAATGTAGGATATCCACCAGTCCTTATCAAAGATGCACTGCACTATTAACTTACCTTTAGTCTTACTATTAGAGGTTCCCGAAGGAGGAATGCCCCCCCCTGAGTGGATTTTCACCGTACAACACTAACCGAACGTGATGGAGAACTGTCACTACACGTTGCTCTTCTTTTCGCCGATCTGTCTGGCTAACGTCCCAGCGAATCCTTCCCTCCCCGGAAACACATGTATTGATGATCATTCATCAGAAGAGGTTATCGTACATGGAGCCATCATTTTTGAACGTTGGAAGACAATCTCAGGCAATTACCGTAGTAACTAGTTGCAACTCAGACCTGGGACCACATATGAGTCGAAATCCCAACAGTGGACTGCTCGCGTCAAGGGTGCTAACAAGGGAGGTCGTTCAGGGTGTGCCAAGCTTTTTCAAAATGGTTTCTTGCATGACATTGGGGCACATATGGGGACCACAGAAGCATGGTTCATTTTTCCTGAACGGCTCTCTGAATACCAGAAAAGGGTCCCTAGTTCGATTCCTCGTGGTGACAAGTTTTTGCATTTCGTGTTGACGTTTCCAAAATTCGCGCAAAATGGAGTTAGCATGAATAATTAGTACCAAATTCATGATTAGGAACGTCAGTAACCCTTACAAATAGACTTTGATTGAAAAACTGGTGAAAAAGGTGTGACTAGGGACCCCCTTTTCTGGTATTCAGAGGGCCGTTCAGGAAAAATTAACCATGGTTCTGTGGTTCCCGCATGTGCCCCTATATCATGCAAAAGACCGTTTTGAAAAAGCTTGGCACACCCTGAAAGACCTTCCTTGTAAGGGTAGGGTTGCTCAGCATTCCGAGCGCCAAAAGACTTACTGGTCCTTTTGAATTCCTAAGTATAGCGTCAACATTTTTTGCCATTTGTTCTCGACATTTATCCTTTTTGTAACTCTGAAAAACAAAAGCATAATTTTTGGGAAGTGCGCCAGGTTTCTATGCTCCGGAAACATCAAAGTTGTGCAAGCAGCAGTACCGTATTTGCTTAGTGAGTAGAGATGTGCAGCAACTATGAGTGGTGCAATTACTACAGCTATGTTCGCTGAATTGAAGCGCTCCCATGTCAGGTAAGCCCCCATACCTAAAGGTCCTGCTCACAGACAATAGGTTGCTCTCGTTCTGGCATTCAGACAGATACTCAAAGGTGAGATTTGGGACGCGCCACGCATTTCAATGAAATCGTTTATGTCAGGTGAATTTTTGGCTGACTAGGTTTAGTGGTCCGAAAAATTGGAAGCATTACGTGAAAACTCGAGAAGATTAATCAACATCAAGCAACAACCCCACATCGAATTGGTATGAGAACTGCGGTGGAAGGGGCGGGGCCGGACGAGTTTTCCCAACTTGCTCGCTCCACGGCTCGGCTAACCCGCGCGTATTTGAATTAGTCGCTACGTCGTAATCCATGCTGCGTATCTTGGGGTGTGAGGTATATCGTCCATAAGTTCATATTAGTCGCCATCACATCACCACGGCTTTAGCGCCATTGTCGCGCACTTTCGAGACTGGCAACGACACGTCTATCATATTCGTGGGCTACTCTATCCCACCCACAGAATAGACTCTTCGACGCAAGCTCTTCTGGGATTCTTTAAGCGTTTTCCCATTTTATCTTCGTTTTCGCGGACGCTCCATGAAAAACCGACCAAAAAATCAGGTTCACTTTAGTTTTCGTGATAGCACCGCACCGTTCAGATCGCCTCATTCCAGTAGGAGGCTGCTATACCTGGTACACTAACGGGTAGCGTAAGATGCTCTGCACAAACAGGTCCCGGCGCTGGTGCATTATTGTTTGTACCCTCTTCTAGTTTCGAAAAACGAAGTTTCGAGGGCTGCTTCAATGGGCTCATTGTCAGCCCGCTACCACTTCTGGTGTGTGCCATTAGGTCCTGTTTTTGGCCACACGAATGAGGTCGCGAAACCAGCCACACATATGGAACATGTTAGGGTTACTTCAACGAAGGCGATACTGGCGGGTTCAGCTACTTGTGGCGAAAAGCTCAAGGGCGTGCATCACTATAGGCCCACCCTTGCATGGAATGTGATGCGGTGGAACTTAATCTTATGTCCTTCTTGTCACTCTTCCCTCTTCTCCCTTTGCTATTAGTTGCTTTCGAAAAATACTCAACCTGTGGCCATTTTGTGAAAGCTTTTTATTAAGCATCTGTCCCTTTTTGCCCCTACTCCCATGCAATATTTGTTTTCATTTTATCGATTGATCAAACTCGCTGAATACATGGATAACGCTGATGAAAAGTGAGGAAAACACGTTTCCATTGCACTCACCATACACTTAAGTTGCCGAGTTACGACGTTTTTTCGACGCTCCGTTTTATGCGAGCAAACATTGGCGGAACGTGGTTAATTTCCCCTGAACATCTTGTACTCAGGTCTATTGGGATTAGCATTGGGTTATCTTATAATAAGTGATCACTTTGCATTTATTGATGTAAAAATTCCTAGAAATTGGTCGAAAGCGTAAAACATATTTCGCGAGGTATCAGCCTTATAGTGTGTTCATAGTTGGCGATCGTACGTGCGATTAGGCGAGTAGGCGAGTGGTCGATTAGGCGAGTAGGCGATAAGGGAAGGATACGTATTGATTTGTTGCTCCGCCCATTGAGCGATCGCCTAATCGCCTAATCGCCTACTCGCCTACTCGCCTACAACGCTCTATGGGCGGAGCAAACCAATCAATACGTATGTAGTCTTCCCGCCTAATCGCCTACTCGCCTACTCGCCTGATCGCCTAATCTATACGTATATTTTTCATTATAGACTAATCGCCTAATCGCACGTACGATCGCCAACTATGAAATCTCTCCCTGGTGTTTCTCCCCCCTCCTGGGCTTAGTCCAGTTGCCTACCATCGACTCTGTTGCGATGTCTACCCCCGGACATGAGCCCAAAAGATCGCCGAATTAAGAATAATGAGCGCCTACTTCTACTGTCTGAACATCCACGAACGCACCCCTTCGAAACCTCGCAGGCACCGAGCGACCACTCGTTGATATGACAGTAAAAAATATGGAAGCACTCGAAATACTCATACGAGGTAATCACTCACAATATCATTATCGTCATTTTTTAAGTGTAGGGACGGAATGTCAAGTGGGTTTAGGGGGTGGGAGGGGGGGGGGGGCTAGTGAAGTGGAATGGTTGTACCCTAATTGCTGGTCCGACTCCTGCTTGAATAGCAATTTCTAAATTTGAGATTAGTTTCACTGCAAAATTTATGGTATGTTGGTGAATGCACCAGGAGCTTCAGCCAGCAGCTTTCAGGTGGTCAAGCGCGTTACGAGAATAGATAACAATGAATCAAAACAAATCAGCTCGGCCGTCCGCAACTAACACCTTGGTCCGCAAGCCCTGCCTTTCGATCTCAGTTGCCACGTGAGGCCGATGTCAGACTTTGCGAATCGCGCGATTCGCTAGCGTCTGCGGTCGCGTCGCGGCCAGTGAATCACTCAGGCCGATGTCAGACTTTGCGATCGCTACTAGCGATCGCGCGATTCGCTAGCGTCCGCGGTCGCGTTGCGGTACCAGCCAATTGAGTGATTCACTGGCCGCGACGCGACCGCAGACGCTAGCGAATCGCGCGATTCGCAAAGTCTGACATCGGCCTGACGCTGCTGGAAAAGCTCGAACGCGGACACTTGAGACAGCGGCTGCATTGCGGCGCAGTGTCATTGGCACTGGAGCAACTGGAGCTAGGTTCGTGAAACTCGTCCAACACGCCCTTTCTCTATCCCAAGGTGGATTGCGGCTGAAAGGAGAAGAGGTTCCTATTCGAGGCGTAATCAGGAGTTTTCCTTGCTTTCTTTGTTTTTCCCAGACCACATCCCACCTCCATATTATTAACTGAACGCTTTTCCACACCCACTTTATCCCGGACCTTACCTTTAAAACAGAGACTTGGCGAGGGGAAAGGGGAGGATTGGCATCGTGTATGAGACAGTTTCTGATCCGGCCGTGAGCAATCACATCGGCAAAGACGATCGAGCTTCGAAGATGGACCTCCTTCCGAACCTATAGCCACTTCTGATGATAACCCCTTGCGACAGAATTGGAAGTGCATCCAGGTGGTACTATCAGGGGATTGTAGCATGAAAGGACCTCAGTACACTGTGCTTGTGGAGGTCCTTTTCTGTGACAGCACGGGCAGGCCTCCATTGTCGGTCGCGCATTAAGATGACTCAAGAATCCACTACGACTAGAGGGTCGCCGAACCGCCCTCCCCGCGCGCGCTTCAGCCACAAAACGGCTCAAATTGTCCTTTGGGCGAAAGAATGCGGCGTGGGACAGCTTCGAAACATGGAGTTATAGCGCGTTCAGAACATCACAGGGATGCGGAGTTATTAGTTTTTACCATACCAAGGGGTGATTTAGGGAACCCTGCTTCTTCCTTTCCTTCTTTCAATCTCGCCTTTACTTCAATTCCTTCCTAGACCGGGTCCGTCGCTGCGAACCAGTTGCAGAGAACAGGATGCGAGACAGAGACGTCCTGAATGCACTTCATTGTCGCCCGTCAGGGACGCCACCCAACCTCACTTGCGGAAGAAGACACATCCCATTCTGGGAGAAATGGGGCTAAATCGGGGATCAAATCCGATCCGTGCAGCTCTAACATTGCTTCAGTCGCCCCCATTGCGTCGTGAAACAACATCTGTGAGACGAAAAACGCAATGGCTACCCCCCCATCCCCTATAAAAATGATTTCCCCGGACCACTATTCTAGGAGCGAAGCTTCCAGTCATTCCCACGATAAATGTATCCATATACAGTAGCGGTCAAAAGTCTTCGCCGAAATTGTTTTTCGACTGTAACTTTTTTTCCGCTGAATCAAATCAATTCAAATTTTAATATGTTTTAGAGATAGTCCTACTTCACTTAAACGGCATATTTGTTTCGGATTGAGAAAGAATTAAGAATGGAAAAAATCATTTCACTAGAAATTCTCGCGTATGAGCAAATTCCAAGTAGGTTTCAAATTACTCTAGCAAGCTTACAATTCAACAAAACAATCTTACGCATGATGAATAACACTGGGCAGGTCCAATACTTTGTTAATGATCTTCTGGGTTCGCTGAAATACTAACAAGGCCTAAGTAAGGAATCAGTCATTGAATGCACTGTCTACTAGGGCAGCTTCCTCCACTTCTCTTGAAATTTGACGAGTTTCTCGCCCATATTCCCGGTTCTAATTTCCACCAAAGGTATCCCTACTCTTTCCCATAATGTTTCGATGGCGCTCGGGACATTGGTGTGAATTGTTCCTTTCGTTGAAAGCGCGCCATGCTGGCGAAGCCACTCCTTCACAGTGAAGGTGTGATGCTTTTGGTCGCACTAATGCTAGAAGGCGAGCTCAGTCGCGGGCAGCTGTCATACACGTGGATAAGAGCTCCTTCTAGAACCCAACTGTATAGGCTGCCTTCACATGATTGCGAATACTGCGAAGTTAGTCGGCGGTGAACTGGTCGGGGGCGAAATGTGCTTACGCACACCTAAAGTGGGGATCCCCATAGGGCTACAACGTCCTGCGGACCAACGAGAGTAAATTCAAGATGTTTGCCGGCGACTGAAATAGGAATGTGTGCGGTCCTGAGGAAAAACGTTTCGATCCAAGGAATTAACTGCCGTATGTAAAACTTGGCGGAGGCTCGCGTGTGGTAGTCCGTAAAAGAAGTTTTACAACTGCACAGGATTAGAGAAGTGGTGAATGCCGACGTATCAGATAGATTCTAGAAGGAGTTTCGTATCCCGCTCGTATGAAACTGTACGTGACTGAGTTCCGACTCTCGTAGGCTATAGAAGGCGACAACATAGCATCGTCACGCTTCAACCCTGTAAGGATTGGTTTCGGAGCAGCGATGGCGCGCTGTCTAACGAAGGAACAAATCACAGTCTCACACCATATGTCCCGAGCGGCCATCGAAACATTTATACGGAGAGTAGGGATAGGAAAAAAGAGTAGGGATACCTTTGGTGGAAATAAGAGCCGGGAATATGGGCGAGAAACTCGTCAAATTTCAAGAGAAGTGGAGGAAGCTGCCCTAGTAGACAGTGCATTCAATGACTGATTCCTTACTTAGGCCTTGTTAGTATTTCAGCGAACCCAGAAGATCATTAACAAAGTATTGGACCTGCCCAGTGTTATTCATCATGCGTAAGATTGTTTTGTTGAATTGTAAGCTTGCTAGAGTAATTTGAAACCTACTTGGAATTGCTTGCATCATACGCGAGAATTTCTAGTGAAATGTTTTTTTTCCATTCTTAATTCTTAACTCTCTCTCAATCCGAAACAAATATGCCCCGTAAGTGAAGTAGGACTGTCTCTAAACACATATCAAAATTTGAATTGATTTGATTCAGCGGAAAAAAAGTTACAGTCGAAAAACAATTTCGGCGAAGACTTTTGACCGCTACTGTATGTGTGCTTAGTTTTGATTGTGCTTGGTATGATTCAATCTTTTCTTAAGAGTGATCAAAACTTAAATAAAGCAAAATGGGCAGAACGTTCGGCGTCAGCAGGTCGCGGGAGAAACCCCAAAGAGTATCAATAATCTTTCTTCGATCCTTTTGGAAGGCAATCGTTCAATACGTGTCAGCACTTCGACACTGATGGTGTGGAACGACCTGAACAAAAAGCCTCACCTTGGAAAGCCGCTAGAAAGGGAGCTGAACGGCTTCGAAGTGGGCGTGGTTGGAATCGGCCTGCACAACCACGCCCACTTCGAAGCTGTTCAGCTCCCTTTCTAGCGGCTTTCCAAGGTGGTTTTTTGTTCAGTCACACTTCTTATGTTCTTGACTAGGGCTAGCGCATCGTTCCACACCATTAGTGTCGAAGGTAAAAACCCTGCTGAGACTGTTGCTTCAAAGAGTTACCGGAATTTTCGATAGGTAGAAATACCTTCAGTCCACGAACAGCATGCATGGCGCACACCCAAAGGAACATTGAGACAGAGGGCTTCGTTGAGAGGTTACCGCAGGAATGGAAGCGGTAACTTCTGCAACAGACTGGGTCAATATGTCCTGTTTGGTGTGCGCCATGCATTCGGGTGACGTTTCAAATCGCTGAGGCGTTTCGACTGCTTTCATACCCAACAACTTGTGAAATGGTAGGGAAAACACAGTCATTTATTTCGTCTCCCCTGTAGATTCTCGCCAAGATTGCAACATTAACAAAGGGAGATTCGATTCGCCAACTATAAACGCAACACTGCGACACTTTTTGCAATCATATCAAGCATTTTCGAGAAAGATCTCAGATGGCCTCTCCCCGTGCCTTCCTCCTCCTCCCCCTGATGGGAATACGAATTGATAGAGCGCTCAGTTCTCTAAAAGTGCGGAGGTCATGGTTTGCACGAATCAGTTTTCAAAAAAAAACTAGGGTAAGACGTGAAAACGGTGTTTCCAGAACCCGCTTCACTGATTTCAGATAACAATACAGATCAAGCTGAAATTGGAGCAAAAACGTGAACATCTGTTTCCATGTGTTGCCGCGTGCGGTCGCATGACGGACGCCCAGGTTATGGTCGTATTACCGCGCCAGCACCAATTAGTGCCGCAATTCCAGTGGAATTCCAACTTGGAAATGTGTGCTCAATAAATAATTTATTCATTTTGAATAATCTATGACGTCCAATGCTGACTGCCGTTGTAACGCAAACGCGTCCCACTCTGCCGTCCCGTTTCACCTTTTCTGACGCCGGGAAATGGATAATTTATGCCCATTTCTTTACTTTATTGAGAATAGTCGATCTTTTGCCTCAAACGCTACAAGCCAGAATCTCTGTTGCTTCGAACGCGTGTTCCTTCCGGGAAATTATACAGCCATAACACGACCCTAATTGAGCGTCAACATTCCCAGCTATCGGCCAGCCACCCCGTTCGCCGCGCGCGACGTCGCGCCACGTCGCGGTGCGCGGTCGCCGCTGTCGTGGATCGAAATGGTGCGCTCCGTGCATTCCAGCTTGTTCGCAACCTTGAACTTTTTCTCGTCGGGATTATTTATTTGTATGCTATTCTATGCTTAGTATAAGGGGAATCTGATTGCTGACGGCTTTTCAGGGTAATCTGGTTGATCCCGAACTATTATGTTTGGTGATTTGTGATGAACCTCGCCCTGCAGCAAACAGGACTGATGTTTCTACGAAGCGCTATTGAGAGGATTCTCTCCGATCGCGACATCAGGAAAAAGGAGAATTTGCAGCTGAAAAAAGCCTGTGAAAATGTTCTTGGTGAGCGAATGAGCTTATACTACTTTTTTCTTTTTTGTTTGAACTTTTTTGATGGTTCTGAAGTTATGTCCTTAGTCTTTTCTTCATATTCAAGTATATTTACAGAGGAACTGAAAGCAGAAAGTGCTTATGCTCCCGGTGAAAATAATAATGGTGTGGTTCTGCCAGATAAAGAGCGAATAGTCGAGGCTGATCGTTATTTTCTGCCGTTCGAATTGGCATGTAAATCTAGAAGTCCAAAAATCGTCATCACGTCACTTGACTGCTTACAAGTAAGTTTTCAAGCTGGGATGTGTGGTGTAATCTTTCTTTTTTATAAATTGAAAGCCTAAAACTTTGCGCCAGCTGTATTTATTACTTCTGCAAAATCGAACTACAGAGAATCTTCCCACATGAAAACCGGCTCATTCCTTGGGATCCATAGCAAACCGGTTTTTTAACTTGTTGGACACTGCTACTTGGTGGTTTACAGAACATTTATCTTGGTTAAAAATAGCGAAAAGGTAGATAGATGTTCTAAGACTCATCAAATGATGATGTAGTTCAGGTTATTGTAGAGCGGTATATTCCCCTACCCAACAGATTACTCTTTTCCTACAATGCGACACGCGACATGCCTTCTATTGGTGCCGATCCTTCAAAATCGACCCTACCAACTGTTTTGTGGCCGCGAATGGACTCAGTTGCGTTTCATGCTACGAATGAATTGAGTTTTGTCGTTTAGAGTCGAGGGCGTTACCCTAATCATGGCACCATGAAACACTGATGCCTGAGCACTTATTTGGCTCTAGTTTTGTTAGCAGTTAGTTTCTTCGATCGTTCTCCTGACCCTTTTGCGCTGCTCATACTCCATCCGTGATAAAAAAAAATGTGCTAAGTGGGTGTATTTCGGAGCACCTTGAGAATGTTTTCACATTCTCTACGGAACACTTTTATCGCAAAATCGGCGAGCTCTTCAGTGTTATTAACACATTGAGGGTAGCGCAAGATACACATGTCCGGCACTTACGCTCGAAGGGTTCTACTTAATTTATGCCTCCATTTCCACCTTTCAGAGTGGTGCTATGCCATATCAGCCGCAGAAAATAGCTCGCTTTTCATTGTCAGTGAAATTATTGGAAAAGTAATTTATTGATGAAAAATTCCATAAAGATAGGTATACGCGTTGTCAATGTGTTGATGAACTTGATACATCATTTCCCCTAATACATCATTTTGTGAGTCAGCACACATACTGACAGACCAAAATGCCAACTGTCAGATAAGCTTAGCCGCCACTCGGTTGATCTAATAAAGTAAATAATCAATTAGACATTTTTCACACTCAAGAATTGGCGTTCTTTTCATAGTCGGTCGTCCGATCAAAACGATCGTAACGGTCGTACATCATTGGATGAGGGGTACCCGACAGGAAGCCCGTCGGCAAGAGGGCAGAGTCGGGCGCACGAGTTACAGGGCGCGATGGTTGTAGGACGTACAATGGCACATTCTGCTTGACTTGACGCGAAATCACTACACTAGGCGCTGCGACTCGTCCGCTGACTCTGGCCTACTTGCCGGGCGACGGGCCTCCTGTCGGGTACCCTTGGATGCGTATCGATTTTTGGTCTGCTCAAGGAGCAGTGCCTCTACAGTACTTTTCGCTGTACTGTCTTATTTTCATGGAGCATGTTACAGAAATTAATAGCCTATGGACACCTTACGGGACGTGGTGCGGATTCATCGAATCCTGAGCGCAAGCTCATTGATCGTATTGTGGAAGCCATTTGTTCTTCGTTCGTGGGGCAAGGCACTGATGAAGCTGTTTTGTTACAAATAATTAAGGTTCGTCTCGTTATGGTTATGTTGTGGTGTAGACTTTATGATGGTATAGTTGATTATGAGTGACGTTCGTTCTATTCGTGTAATTTTCCAGGCCATCCTGGCGGTAATTTTAACAAACAATTGCGAAGTTCACGAAGGTTCGCTTCTTCTTGCTGTTCGGACATGCTTCACTATTTTCCTCGCGACGAAGAGTCCAATCAATCAGTCCACAGCAAAGGGAACTCTCACCCAGGTGATTCGGCTCACTGTTGTGGTGTTAAGCTTTGCATATTGTATTTTTTGTGGCTGCTCACGGGTTTTGAACAGAAGGGCATTTTTATCACTATAACTTCTACACAGGTTATCAACGCTGTGTTCGCCAATATGGAGCGCGTTGGCAACACGAAGGACGACACTGTCGTCGTTAGCGAAGTCGTCGAATTTCTTGTCACATCGGCGACTTCTCTTGCACTCGAATCTGTACGTGCTTTTTTGATGTCACTTAATGGTGTTTGCATTCAATGCGTTGGACTTTGCTTTATTGTTTTCTATTAATCAAATTTTTATTAGGGTCCCTTATCATCTTGGCGTTTTTAGAGTGATGATGGTGAAACTAGGAGTATCCGAGGTGCAGGTGCTTCAACTATCTGGGGCGATACCGAAGCAAATCCTCCCGAAGATCACATCACTTTTCCCAACGTCGAGCAGAAGGATGCCTTCCTAGTTTTCCGCGCCTTATGTGTACTTGCGCAAAAGGAAGAAGGCGATGTCAACGATCCACGGTATGATTAATTCATCTCGTTCTTTACATGAAAGTTGTCATAGAATCGCATTCTCTAAGTTTGAATTTTTCAGGAATACTCATCTGAACTCAAAGATGCTGGCTTTAGAAATGTTATTATTGGTCCTGCAAAATTCGTCAACGGTATTACAAAACGCTCAGCCATTCGTCCTGTTAATCAAGAAATCCCTTTGCGTTGCACTTTCTCGGAACGCTGTTTCTTCAAACGTGAAGGTTTGCAATTTCTCGTCCATCCTTGTTCATTACGCGATGATTTGTCTTTGTTTTCTCAGGTTTTCGAAAAGTCTCTAGCCATCTTTGTGCAGTTATTGGATAAGTTCAAAATTCATCTGAAGTTACAAATCGAGGTGAGCTGTTGTTCCATTTTAGTACATGTTGTGGCGTTTTGCCTCTATGTGCCGTGTCAAGATTTCAAAGAAAGTTCTTCGAAATTTGCTAATAGTTACATTGCCTTTAGCTAAGAAGTTTACTGAGCTTTATAGTACCTACAAACGATCAAGGCTGATAGGTTAGAACAGGCATTGATTAGCGCATACTTTCATCTTCAATATCACCATACTTCTTAACTTGAATGAAATGCTGGTCGGTTAAACTTTTTCTCTTGTATAAACCATTTTTAGGTCTTCTTCAAGGAAATAATCATATCAATGCTCGAATCATCGTCATGCTCATTTGAACACAAATGGATTGTGCTCCATACTATTGGTAATGTTTGTTGGTGTTTGAGTGCCTTCATACTTGCTCCAAACGTGCGTTTTGGGCGATGCGCCAACTCCGCACCGCCGATCGTAGGGCCCCTTTCAACTCTTGACTTGTTCCGTACCTTCGCTGTTGATTTGAGATTGTTTTCGGATTGACTGACATGAATCATGTTCATCACAATATCTAGTGAAAGGCAGCTGAAAGAGGAAGAATATGCGAGAATTTTCCAAATGAGCGGTGAACAGGATTTGGTTTTTGCGGTACACGCTTTCACATGAGGATAGTTTAAATACTAGAGGATACTTTCAATTCGCTCTTTTAATCCTCTTGCATTTGAACCTGAAATCGCCAGCGCTGGCTCAGCAAGAATTAACCGTAGTGCTTCCACTGCCGGTAAAGTATGAAGGAATTCCTAGTGCCGTTAGAGTTTTGAACCAATTCGTCAAGTTTAGGCAAAATCCTTGCTAATCCTCAATCTGTGGTGGACCTGTACGTGAATTATGATTGTGATTTGACCGCGCACAACGTGTTTGAGAACCTGGTTGATGTGGTTTCGAAAACTGCTAGGACCTCCATCAATGAAAACTCTCCAGTCATTCAAAAAGAACGGCAAGTTGTTGATTTCTGATACAGTTTTCAATCACTACTTTCTATGTTGTGCTATGGGTTTGTTTTAAGAGAACGTGCAATGCGATTGCTTGGTTTGAGCTGTTTGACGGATCTCCTACAGTGTTTAGTGGATTGGTTCGATGTGTGTGAAACAACTAAGAATAACTTGTTGCGAGAACGTGCAGGTAATGAGTTTGATGTAAGCGAAATCTGTATCTATTTGGGAAGTGTTAACCTGACTGAACAGTATAACAAGAATTAGCTAGATTGAGAGCAGCAGAAATCGGCTCATTTCCGAAATGTGTGGGGCTGAAGAAGCCCTCCATCATGTCTGGGATCCGGCCCATCATCTTTGGCCATGTGCCGTGATCCTATGGTCGATTTTGAAATTTTGTATTGCAGAAGCAGAAAGCGAAGATACCGATGAGCCGTCATCGTCTCCTACTGTGCACAGATTTGTTCACCTCAAGCAGAAGAAAGAGTTGATGGAACACGGAATCATGCTGTACGTTTAATTCCTTCGATTGTGGTCATAATTCCATCGTTCAACTGTGGCTGGAATATTCTTCAATTCTTTTATTCAGATTTTCCCGCAAACCAAAGCAGGGACTTGCATTCTTACAAGAACATGGTTTCGTTGGCACTGAGCCAAATGAGATTGCGGATTTTTTGATGAAAGAAGATCGCCTGGACAAAACTGTAGTTGGAGACTTTTTAGGAGATCCAGATGAGTGAGTGATTTTGATTTATTGAGCACCTGATGGGTAATCCTTGTGCAGATTTCGCGCGAGCCTTTTCAGAGATCACTTCGCTAAGAACTGTCGAAAAGCCGCGTTGTGTACAGTGAGATAATCTCTTTTTTTGGTTTTGCTTTTGAATTTCCTTAGAGCCAAAGTTAGTAAAAAACGTTGTTCCAATCTCACATCACGGCTTTTCTGGCAGCGCTATCAGTTTTAACAATAATTTTATGAGATGCTATAATATCGCACGTTGGTCGCACCTGTTTATATTTTTTGCACCATTTTGTCATTTTGTGATAAGATGAAGAAATTGCGCTGACAGTTGCAATGGAAATATGTGAACTTTCATAAATCTAATTCTCTTGCAGGTTTAACAAGCAAGTCATGTATGCATATGTCGATGATATGGACTTTTCTTCCCGGGATTTTGTTTCTTCTCTTCGTTTATTCCTTGAGAAATTCCGACTACCTGGCGAAGCCCAGAAAATTGATCGACTTATGGAAAAATTCGCTTCTCGGTACTGTGAGTGTAATCCGAGGTGAGGCTTGCAATTTTTTTGAGCGATACTCTGAAGCTGTGAACTTACTGTTATATTAACACTCTCGTTGAATCCGGCAAGCTATTCCAAGATCATGACTAGATGACCTCAGGTGGTGGGTGTTGAATAACCCTTCACTGATCTATATATATCTATATATATATACACTGCGTCCCATAATTATAACTCCACCCAAGAATTTCCCAAAATCTCACAAATTTAGATGTTTAGAAAAAGTCTCTAATGTGCAGTGTGTCAAATACAAATACGAAATTCCCTATAAACATCATCTTCCAACTTGAGATCCCAGGAATTTTTTCTAATAATTTTTGTTCAAAAGGCCACTTGGCCAACGTCCCAAAATTATAACTCCACCTCATGTTTTTCTATTATTTTTCACTTCCGTTTCGCCAAACTTTTTTAATGTGCTAACATCCTACTTCTCAAGGGGACAGTATGATAGAAAATGCTGTCTGACTTTTTAAAAGGTCAGGTCGTCGCAAAAACTACTAATTAGGCAATCGCACAAGATTTTGACCAAATTACGAGGAGCTCGAGAATTTTTTCAGGGATTTTACATGATATGGAGTTGAGAAGAGCTCCCAAAGGATCTCCCCTTGCTTTTCGGTAGAAACAAAGGCCGTGTCACAGAAGAAACATCCTTTTTTATGAAGCCGTGCTCTGCCATCAAATCTTCTTCGGAACTTAATGGCTCAACGGAACAATGTTTTTTGCTTGCGAATAAGTCCCAAGTTGATTCTCGAGTGGAAAACGTGGAAGGCATCATCTGTGGTAAGAAACCATGGCGGAATTCTTGCTGAGTTTTCCGGAAAGGTGCATCCGAGCCGACTGTAGTAAGGTTCGCTCTTACTTGCGATTCATTACTGATTGTCTGTCTTTTCTTCGGCATTTTCTTTCTCCTGTAGTGCCTTCGCGAAAGACAGCTACTGAGATGAGAAAAGGCAAGAAAAGGACCTAACATCAATAACTAAACAATATAAGCAAATCTAAGTTATTACGGGCTCCGTTGCATCTTTCTGTGAAAATGGGCTCAATTTTCGCCATGGTTTCCTGCCACAGATGATGCCTTCCACGTTTTCCACTCGAGAATCAACTTGGGACTTATTCGCAAGCAAAAACATTGTTCCGTTGAGCCATTAAGTTCCGAAGAAGATTTGATGGCAGAGCACGGCTTCATAAAAAAGGATGTTTCTTCTGTGACACGGCCTTTGTTTCTACCGAAAAGCAAGGGGAGATCCTTTGGAGCTCTTCTCAACTCCATATCATGTAAAATCCCTGAAAAAATTCTCGAGCTCCTCGTGAAATTGGTCAAAAATCTTGTGCGATTGCCTAATTAGTAGTTTTTGCGCGACCTGACCTTTTAAAAAGTCAGACAGCATTTTCTATCATACTGTCCCCTTGAGAAGTAGGATGTTAGCACATTAAAAAAGTTTGGCGAAACGGAAGTGAAAAATAATAGAAAAACATGAGGTGGAGTTATAATTTTGGGACGTCGGCAAGTGGCCTTTTGAACAAAAATTATTAGAAAAAATTCCTGGGATCTCAAGTTGGAAGCTGATGTTTATAGGAATTTCGTATTTGTATTTGACACACTGCCACATCGAAATATTGAGACTTCTCTGAACATCTAAATTATGTGAGATATTGGGAAATTTTGGTGAGTTATCAATTATGACCAGTCCTATACATATAAGTAGTAATGTATATATATGTATACATATATTATATATATATATATTAAATATATCCTACTATATATAATCGGCTAAGCGGTTGTGTGTGTGTGTGTGTGTGTCTGACCGGAAATTCATAACTCCACCCCCTTTGGACCCAGAGCGCTAAAAACTCGAGGATATATAGGGGGCCGGAGGTGAACACTGATGACGGGTAGCGTAAGTGAACTACTGATAGGAGCTGATAACGGACGTCGAAATGTTGATGTCACCAATTTCGTTACACCGTTCGCGTTGACGGTGGAGAGTTTGCACTCATGTATGATATGTGGGTGAGGCGGGGACCAAGAAGTTGAGTGAACGAATGTGGTAGCAACTGATAAGAACTGATAAGGGGCGTCAAAGTGTGGATACCACCAGTTTCGTTGCGGCCCTTAGGTGCTTGAATCTGGCTCTCACATGTGGCATAGGGGATCGGGAACACGGATAGCGGATGATCAGAAGTGATAACAAGCGATAACGGTTGATAAGGAAGTTAGGATTTTGAGTACTGCTAATTTCGTTGCAGCCTTCGTGGTGACAGTAAATATTAGCTCCTACACGTTGCGTGGAGGTTGGGACCGGGACACCGATTGCGAACAGTATGAACTGATAACAAATGACAAGGAATGATAAGAGCGTTTGAATGCAGGTCTCTCCAACTTCGTTGCAATTATCACTGGCAAGCGATCAAGGTGGCGAGGTTGAATGTAGGTACAAAGTGGTATGAGCAGCAACTGTACTGATAAAAGTAGCGACAATTGAGCGTGAACTCAACTAAACTAAACCAGGTCCCTAGCACGTGAATAAGTTCCATTCCTACCCTTTCATCTAAAGAAGCAAAGAAAGTTGTGCTGCTCAACTATCTGGACATGGACCAATGGCGAATTTCCATTATATTTCCAATTTCCATCACAGCTCGGTTAGATGCTGCTTGATTGGTTATTTTTCATTTACACACCGATTCCTCAATTATCGAAATTCTACAAACCGCTAAATCGTTCGAGCTCGATATGAATGCTGAATGTTCAGTCATGATAAGCACTAGCTTCATTCCGCATGCGCTGCGCGCAATACGCGGCAATCTTCAATGGGATAAGACAAGCTTCAAACATTATGCGATACATCTTCCAGACATCTTACTGTTAGTTTCTCACGTGACCTAATATTCAGCAAGTCGTCCAGTTTCACTAAAGCCCACCATTTGATGCGCGGCTGCGTGCGGAGCTAAACTGGTACTATATATATACATATCTATATGTATATACGAAGTTATACGAATATATATATATACAAGTAAATTATGTTGTTTCGTTACCTAACGATAAGTTCGGTAGAGCGAATTCATTGTTTACGATCTCTGCATTATACGTCATTTTCTACGTCGATGATAGGGACTTTTCTTTCGCTACAAATTTTGAGTGCTTAATCCTTGATCATCAAAGAGTTCGAACTCATATATATATATATATATATATATATATATATATATATATATATATATATATATATATATATATATATATATATATATATATATATATATATATATATATATATATATATATATATATATATATATATATATATATATATATATATATATATATATATATATATATATATATATATATATATATATATATATACATAGTAAATTATGTTGTTTCGTTACCTAACGATAAGTTCGGTAGAGCGAATTCATTGTTTACGATCTCTGCATTATACGTCATTTTCTACGTCGATGATAGGGACTTTTCTTCTCTACAACAATTTGAGGGTCTCATTCTGT